CGCACGCACGCATACACACAAACGCGCACACACACACACACTCACACCCGCACCCACACCCATACCCACACCCACACCCACACCCACACCCACACGCACACCCGCACCCACGCCACCCACACCCACCCACACCCACACCCACACCCGCACACACACACACACGCACACACAAACCACACACATGCACACACCACACACACACGCACACACACAAACGCTCACACACGCACACACACACACCCACACACAAACCCACTCACCCACACACCCACACACTCACACAAACACACACACACAACACACACACACACCAACACATCCACACGCCCACACATGCACACACCCACACATCTACACATCCACACATCCACAAACACGCGATACACAACGCACCACACAGACCACACACGCAGAACACACACACACAAGACACAGCACACACAACACACGACACACAAGACACAGCACACAACACACAAGACACACAACACACAAACCATTCGGCGCACGCAAGACAAATCACACAACCACCACAACACACAACACACACAACGGACACACAACACACACACACAAAACACACAACACACAAACCACACAACTTTCAACACACAATACACACAACACACACATCCATACGTCCACACTCTTCACAACGCACACAACACAACACACAGCACACACAACACACACAGCACGCAACGCACACAATCCGCACACCACATAGCACACAACACATAACACACACCACACACAACACACGCAACACAAACAATACAAACACACATACGAACAACACAAACACACACACAATCACACAAACAGCACACACAACACACAAACACACAAACACACACACACATCCACTCATCCACACATCTACACATCCACGCGCACATCCACATCCAAATCCACATCCACATCCATCTCCTCATCCACGTCAACATCCACATCCACGCTCACACACACACGCACGCACACACACATACACACACACTGCGCGGCATAATCACCCGAAGAGCGAAACCCACGCCATCGTGACTCCTCGTCTGCACGACTCCTCGAAACGCGCGGGTGGCTGTCCGACCAGCCAGACTTGACGGGTCCCCCGAACTTTTCGCTCGATTTTGGAGCCTCTGGGGCCCCTGGGGGTCTCGTGAGGGGTGCTCTGGAAGCCGTTGGGGACTCCTTGGAAATCCCGAGGGCGCCTCGGGCCAGGGGCACTTCTGCCAACACCCGAGTCTGGTCGGGGCCCTGTGCCGCTGCCGTTCGGGGCGGCACCGGGCGCAGCAGCCAATGCACAGCCACATATTTGAGGTACTGGCTCTCCGCACATGCACAAAGTATTTTTTCACGGTCGGCTGTGCGCGACGCCAGGGCGAGAGCGCGGTTCGTAAAGACCGGCCGCCGCGCTCCACCTTTGCGTCTGATGAATATTCTGAACATCATGGTCAGACATCGTAGGGGCGAACGGCGAGAATGCACTTTTGATAATGCATCGCCCTTCATCCGCGCAAAATGCCGATAGCTATCGACGTCATGACCGTGCAGTGGTAGGACATCACATCCAACAACATGTGGGGCAACTGTTGTTGTCATGCGTTACCTCGTGGGCACTTCTACACTATTTGATAGTGCATCGCACATGGCAGTTCACCGCATGGTTATACATGTATACTTACAGCGAACCGCTCCCTACTCGTGGAACGACGAGTCCTTGTAAGTTCAGAGATGTATGTCCTGGGAAGAACCGCGCTATCTAGAACTTCTCCGTTGGACTTATCGAAAGCCTCAAGATTTAGACTCAGGGTTCAAGCCCGCTGATCTTCGGAAGCCTCGAGTCGAGCCGCCTGGCGTTCGCCGCAGATGCGCCTGGGGGGGCGACGGGGATGAATGGTTCATAAGCGAAAGCCCGATGCAGCAATGTATCCTGGCTTTGATGTTGGTCTGCGTAAGGCCCCAACGTACCTTGACGATAAGCAGCAGGCCTCGTAATCTGAATTCCAACGGAACAGTGCCACTGTCCAAAAGGTCCGGAGAAAGGGCGCAAGGACAAACGCGGACGTAGCGTGGCCTTCGGAGGACACATTTCCGCCGAGGATGCGAAAGGGGGGGGAAAAGGCGGGAATGGGGGATCTCCCGCAACTTGCGACTGTGCCGGTAGTCCATCAGAATCGAAACTGCCTTCTTCTGGTTGAGCTGGCCTTTGCATCCGCCAGTCTGAAGGTCTTTTACCGCTTGGCCGGCAGAGCCATGTCCACGAAAAGGGCGCGGTTGAGCTCGGCCGCCTCCACTTGGTATAATGCGAGTGCGATCGTTCGCGCATGCCGGATGGAGAGCTCAGGGAAGGCGGGCAGCTCTCGCACGGGCCGCTCCAAGACGTACTTCTTCGTGTTGCTTCGTATCGGTCCAGGAAGCCGCGCTGCTTGCATGCGCGTGATGATCGCCGACCTGATGGGCGTGGCCCGCGCCGGTATTCTCGCGGAAAGAAGCGCAGGGCCGCTCCAGTCATGGAGAAATTCGTAATCGAACAACCGAGAGTTCCCGCCTGCGCGCCTGCAGAGCCCCGCGACCTGGAGAATCTCCTCCTTTCCCAGCGACAATATCCGCTGCGCGTTGTTGCCGAGCGCGGCGATCGCTCTCGCGTTATGTGGGCAAGCATTCGCGCTCAGATAGGGCCGCTGTATTAACGTGGGCCACCGACCTGATGTCGAACTTTGTCCCAGGCAGACATCTAGTCTAGGCGGCCATCTGAGGCGCAGCAAGCCCCGCCCAGAAACCCACGCACCACGCGACGTCCGTGACCGCGAAATCTCTCCACGTCGGCGCCACCTGACTGATCGCTGCCACTTCGCCGCGGCGGCCGGCGTGAACTTGCCGCTGAGGGGGGCGCCTTTGAAGTGTTGAGCTCTGCCATAAGCATCGGCCCCTCAAGTCGGCTGAGGGGCCCACTTCGCACGGGGGCCCACTGGCGTCGTCGGCGCGCGCGGGGCGCGGCCAACTCGCATTCTCCAATCGACTGGTGGCCATCGCACATAAAGCTGCCATCATAGAGCGCGCACCCTTCGATGATGCCTCGGGCGGCGGCGAGCAGGCTGGCCGCGTCCCCGGCCGTTGTCGGGGCCGCCGTGACGGGGGCTCGCAGACCTGCGTTTGCCAGGGGAACGCCGGGGACCTGGACGGGGGCGCCGGGGGCCTCCAACGTGAGCGTCAGGAACTTCCGGGAGAAGCGTCGCAGACATAAAGACCCATCACTATGGGGAGCGACGGTTCCACGTCGGGGCGACAGCCTGCAATCCGCGCAGCAGTGTCCAGTTCGATGATGTCGTCGGTGGACTTGCCGGCAGAGACAAATCCCCCTTGCGCGTGGGGGGATGGGGGGGCGCCTTTTCAACGAACGCGCCAGTCGCGGTGTTTATCGCGGCGGAAATTCGCCGGCCCAACGGGCCAGAGGCGTGCTAAGATCTCCGGTAACTGCTCTACAATGTTTCTACTTCGCGCGCGCGGGGCGGCCGCTGGGGGTCCCCAGACGAAAAGTACCCCGACCAGGTCCCGGCCGGTCCCCGGCAAGGTCCCCGGCAAGGTCCCCGGCAAGGTCCCCGCAAGGTCGGGCCAGAGATGCCGGAGCCCTGTTACAGGGCCCCAGGACGGGCCAAGAGGCCCCCAAGAAGCCTCCAAGACGGTCCAAGAGGGCCCCGAGACGGCCAAAGATCGCCCGAAGACGCCCAACAGGGCCCCAAGACAGCCCAAGAGGCCTCCAAGACGCCCCAAGGGCCTTCCAAGAGGCCTCCGAAGAGGGCCCCAAGAGGCCAAAATCGTTGATTTTCATTGTTTTTTTCGCTGTTTTTTGCGTTCTGGCTTTTTCGGCTTCCGGACGCTCCAAGACGGCCCAAGAGGCCCCCAAGACCGCTCCAAGACGGCCCATGAGGCTCCCAAGACGGCCCCGGAACGGCCCAGGAGGGCCCCCAAGACGGCCCAAGTGCCGCCCAAGACGGACCAAGAGGCCCCAAGACGGGCCCAAGAGGGGCTCAAGAGGGGAACCGAGAACTGAAAAATCGAGCCCTCCGCCCCAGAAGGCGCCCAGGAGGCCCCAAAAAAGGCCCCAAGAGGCCCCCAAGAGGCCCCCAAGACGCCCCAAGAGGCGCCCAAGAGGCCCAAAAGAAGCCCCAAGAGGCCCCAAAACGGCCCCCAAGAGGCCCCAAAACTCGGCTAGCCCACAACTGTGCGACAATATGGGCCGGCGGAATGAGCGAAGCGATTAAATAAGCATGGCGTCGGATTTACGGTGCCCCGTAGTGCGAATCTCACCGGGTGCGCGAGTGACTAAGCCGTCGGGGTGATCGTCGGGGTGCGAACTCATTGGGGGGAAGGCTTGCTTGACGTCTCCTGCTGATCTAAACCTGCTGCCGTTGGACACCCACTGCGCGGCCCCCCGAGCGCGTCGCGGGATGCCCCAGGCGCGGCGCGGGGTGCCATCCACTCCAGGAGCGCTGCCGACCCCCTTGATCCTCGACAGTGTAACGCCTCAGCTCCACATGAAAATCGGGGGCTGCCACCGTGGATGAGCGGGCCGCTGAATTATTCGACGCGTTGCCTGGCAGTGTCGTTGTCAAACGGACCGTTGGTAAAGACGCGATCCCGATGATTGCCGGTCGCTCGTAGCCGGCGTTCCTGGCTGACGTGGGTCTCATTGCCTTCGCGCGCTTCCCGGGGGCACCAACCTTTTGCCTAAGGGAACCCACATCTGCGCCCTCCTCTGCGGTCGTGATCTTGGCCTTGAACCCTTTTTTGCGGGTTGGCGAGGTCGGCGGGGGTCGCAAATGTGTCCTTCTTGGGCAACGTGCAAATGATTCGTTTCCGTCCTGCGCTGGAATGACCTGCGATCGACAATCGTCGCCCGACCGTCGGAAACCTGAAAGCAAGCAGCCGCCTCCGCTGATACTAAAATCATGTGGGAGGCAAGCGCGGTGTCATTCCTCCAAGAAGCTCTTGCCGCCCGCCTTGCCAGAAACAGCTGGGACTGGATGCCGTCCAAATTGGCGGTGAGCACGGTTGTCATGGTGATGCGACTGGCCTCGTCGATGAGCTCCTCGAATCGCAGAAATCGGAGACGCGGCGACTTGCGCTTGAGCTCCTCGTTCCCGTTGCCCGCTGGCCTCTCGCGAGTCGTCGCAGAGTCTGGCCTTTCGAAAACAGACGGTTGAAAGGGCGGCTCCTCCGTCGGCCGCTGGTTCCTCGCCTGCATGGTGACCTCCAGGGCCGCGTGATCTGAGATGCCTTTGTCGCGCAGAACACTGGGTGAGCTGATGACCGCGCCGCCGAAAGACGCTTCGCGCACCATCCACGCAGGCGTGACCGACTAACTCTGTCGAGCGAGGAAAGCTTGCCATCTTCGCGGGGGCTAGATCGGGCCACTGGGGGTCATTGCCTTTGCCCCCTCCCTGGCCTCGTCCTCGGGGTCGCGGCGGGGCGCCGCGGTGGGGAGGGAACTAAGACTGGGCGACGGCTTTGGGATGGAGGAGACTAGGAAAAGCTCCGGGGGGGCGTGGACCATTGGAGCCTCGCTGCCAGCCCCGACCGGGGCCTGGGCAGCGAGGAGGAGGACAAGTCCCCAATGAGAGCAGATCCTGTGCAGGACATGCGCAGGGATGCTCCCCCCTCCCCGGCGGGCACCGCGGGGGAGCACCCCCACCTGACTTATGATGCGGGTGGCCTCCTGCGCGCTGCCATCCCGTGTGGGGCCGCAGCGCGATGCGTCGCGCTTCATACTGCAATGCCCCAGCGGGCAACCGCCGCCGCACCAGACTACGCCTCTGCGTGGTCAGCTGATGGTGCCTGGGGCATGATGCCCCAGGGCACTCAGGTATCCGGAACGTGCCATGGGACACCGGCGCGTGCATCGCACTGTTGACGCCGCGCGAGGCTCGAGCACGTCATATGGCGAAACTGGGCGGGTGGGCACAGGGAAAGTTTCGCCAGGGCTCGCGCCAACAGCTATGGGTAGCAAAGAAGGCGATGATGATGGCGACAAGTCGATGCACGTGTAGTGGAAACAGATACTTCAATCTGTGTAGCTTCCAGCAAACTGGAACCAACCCGATGCTGATGCTACGCCGCTTCCTGCCACTACATCCCCAGCAGGCGTGGGCCCCTGGCCCACGAAGATCATGGCGACAGGCTCGGCCCCCTCACGACCTGGTGTCAGCCTACCACTGTCTTTGCAGAAGAGCGTCGGATCGCTCCACGAGCGGATGAAATACGTCCTTCCACTTGGCAGCGTGGTAGCAAGACTTGTTTTGCTTGCTGAGTGAGCTCCTCCTTTGGGGCTGCAGCAGGTCGAACTTGGTGCTGGAATATGTTCATGCCGCCGGCAAAACAAGCAATCGAATCAGAGGATTCTCCCTAGCCCACTGTAAATCTTGACGAAGAGCACGGGGGATGCACGCAACCAGCCTGACCGAATAGTCGGGTTGTGGATGTTGGTGTGTGGCAACTGCTCACCGTGGCCTTGAGGGCCCGCCCTCTTGCCAAGACAGTCCCCAGCGGATCGGGGAATCAGGGGCAACACGAAGGAGCAAGACTGTGATATGAATTTTGGTGTGATGCACCTCCTTGATGGCCATGCGCGAACGACTTAGATCACATTGCCTGAAAACTCAATTTTTCTAGGGCCATCGTACCATGCCAGCTGAGCAATGCCCTCGGGATCATCACTTGACGCGCAAACCTTGTGCAGCGCTACGTCCGAGTTCCCAAAACTGCGTCGTGCAGCAACGTGGGGAAGTTGTCGATGGCATCGGGGTGGTTGGGCATCGGGGGAGATGCTGGTGCCGATGCGTTTAATGGTCTGCTGCCTAGACAAGCGCTTGTCTACCAAACCCTTGTCATTCCAATGGGCCGCCGTGGGCTCGCGACCAGCGCACGGGGCAAAACGCAATAGGGGAGTCCTCCTCCTCCTCCTCCTCCTCCTCCTCCTCCTCCTCCTCATCATCATCATCATCATCACCACCACCACCACCACCACCATCATCATCATCATCATCATGCTCATCATCATCATCATCATCATCATCATCATCATCATCATCATCATCATCATCATCATCATCATCATCATCATCATCATCATCATCATCATCATCATCCGGCTCCTCCTCCTCCTCCTCCGCCTCCGCCTCCGCCTCCGCCTCCACCTCCTCCTCCTCCTCCTCCTCCTCCTCCCGTACGGCCGAGAGGACACGCTCTGCGCACTCGAGCGCGACAACGCTTGCGCGCAACAGCGTGCCCCAAAAACCGCCCCACGAGACACCCAGGGGGAATGGAGACACTGGCACCAAGTCGAGCCTCCTACAGTCAGCCTTGATTGGACAGGACACGCGAGAGGACACGCGACCTACAACACCTCCTCCTCCTCCTCCTCCTCCTCCTCCTCCTCCTCCTCCTCCTCCTCCTCCTGCTGCGCGCCCGCGCGCGCCGGGGGGGACGCCCGGTCCTCGATCGGCTCCACGGAGGGGCCGCAGGCAGGAGGCTCCGGCGGGGCGGGCGGCGCCTGCGCGGCGTGGGCCGCCGCGGGCAGGCGGCCGAAGAAGGGCCGGGCGGCCGCGCGTGGGCGTCCGTGCTCTGCCTGCGGTTTTCCCCGAGGTCATGTTGGCCGCGCGCACACCAGGACGACCAAGGTCAAGGTCAAGCCTGCATGCCCGCGAAGGGGCGGCCGCTTAGGGCACAGGCGGGTGAAGACTAGCGGACGCTCATGTGGTGAAGACAATCTCCTGTCATACAGTTCCAAGAATGTGGGTCTTTGGCTGCTACTCTCCAGTCGCCGATCCCGTACTCGCCACCAGGACGAACAGCGGCATCGAAGCTTTTCTTCCTCCCGCGGCCTCGGTGCCGCCATGGTGCCGGACGGCCCCTCCGGCGGCGCTCCCAGAAACGGCGGGTGGGGGCCGGCGCGTGGCCCCGCGGCCGAGGCCCCCCGTGCCGCCCTGCCCCACTCGGGCCTGCGGGAGGTTCACGGCGCGCACGAGGGGGCTGGGGGGAGGGGGGGGGGCTTCTTAGAAGGAGGCTGCTTCTGAGAGGGGCGCCGGCCTTACAGCTATAGATGTAAGGCCCGCGCCCGCCAAGAAGCAGGGGTGCTTCTAAGGAGCCCTCCTCCCTCCCCCCAGCCCCCTCTGCGCGTGGCTGGTCATTTTGTCTGCCCCAAACGGGCCCGCTCGGCAGCGCAAAGCATGAAGCTCGGCAGGGCACAGCATGAAGACGGATATCGCAGCCGGCGCTGCGCGGAGCGTCGGCAGCCAGCACGCCAACGCAGGATAAACCGTCGTCGGTCGCGGCTGCGCTGTTCCCTGAGATACTGGGCGGTGCATTTTTTCATGCCGCCCAATCTTCATGTCGCCCAATCTCGGGGCCCCAGGGCCATCACGGACCGACCCGGCTCGAAAGCTGCAGCAGACGAGTGTGACTGCGGCTTCGGCCTGTGATTTTTCGCAATGTTACAGTTTTTGGCAACCTCGGGTGTCAGGGTCGCGGGGGCTTTCTGTCTTCGGGGCCAAGCGCTGGCAGGCCGTGGTGTGGCGACAGGTCTGGCTTCGTGGGTCACTTCGGACGTCCCAAATTGGACACCCAACTAAGGGTACGATGCCCAACACCAGCTGTGGTCTGAAGCCGACAGCGGCCGCTGCTGGGCAGGCGGCTTCCTGCCTCAAGGGCATGACCTCCGCGGCGGCACCGACAACGAGCCCAGTTCCACCAGGACGGGAACTGCTGTCGGTCTTCGTCACCACTCCTTCAGTACCAAGCTCGATCTTCTGGAGGGCAGGGCCCGGAAGGCCTCGGGCCCGTCCGTGCAGCGATGCGGGCCCTGGCCCCTGTCGGGGGGGCGAGCGAGGGCGGAGCCTCGGTCCCGGCGCAGGGGCCGAGCCTCTTCGTCGGGAGCCGGAGGTAAGGATTGGGGGAGGGGCCTATGGAAGACAGGGCCGCCTTCGGCTGAATCCCCTCCTGCTCACCTCCCCCCTCCTCGTCCTCCCCCAGGAGGGGGGGCGGGCCCCTCCTGCTCACCTTCCCCCTCCTCGTCCTCTTTCAGGGGGGCGTCTGCAAGACAGGGTCGTCTTCAGCTGCATCCCCTCCTGCTCACCTCCCCCGCTCGTCTTTCTCCAAGAGAGGGGGGCCTCTGCAAGACAAGGCCGTCCTCGGCCCGATTGCCCCTCGTGGCTCCAGCAGCCTTCAGGAAAACGCCAACTCTCGGGGGCGTCCAAGAGTGGGGCGTCCAAGAGGAGAGGGGCGCAAAATCATGGCCGGCGGCATGTGCGCGGCCCAGATGGGGGCCAGGGACGAATTGAAATAAGAAGAGGCGCCATGAAATCTGGGGAGATGTCATGGCCCCCGCCATGAGATCCCCCCCCCTAGTCGTCCCCCCCCCTCTTGGCCGCCCCCGAAACTCTTGTCGGCTCGATGGAAGGCCAGGGCTCGAAACCGAATCCTGCGGGAGCCGGATAACCTCAGCCTCCCAGGAGGGCCGGGGCTCCTCGTCCTGTGCTCCTGTCGTTGTACACTGCGTGGCAGCTGAGCGCGTCTTGTGCAGTGCCTGTCTTTCTTGGATGCTTGCGTGTGGCATGCTAGGCTGTCGCGGATCGTCGTCGTCTGCCACCAGTCGAGGACCAATGCAGCCTGCGATTCGAGCTGCTCCTCAAACTGCTGGCCCTCTTGCCGTGGATGTGCCGTGACAATCACGGTCGGGAGCCTTTGCTTCACGTGACGCCGCGGCGGCCCTGGTAACACGCTGTGCCCTGCGAGCGGATAGCGTGCTGCTCCGCTCCCACGGGGCAGAAGGATCGGAAAGGCTCGGGACGCTGACGCTTGGGACGTGGGATGTGGACAGCGCGTCGCGTCAGGTGGCGCGACACACTGCGCCAAAAATCCTCACCGCATCCTCCCTCGCCTCCCTCCCCGTCATCGCCTCTCCCCTCCCTGCGCCATCGCCCGGGCGGGCGTGGAGCTCCAGCCTCGGACAGCTCCTCGGGCGGCACCTGGGGCCGGTGCTGGGCCATCCCGCCACTCCCCCCTTCACAGGGTGGGAGGAAGGGGGAGGCAAAAGGGTACGAAGGGGGGGGGGGGGGGGGGGAGGGGAGAGGGATGCGAGGAGAGTGGGGGCGAGGGGGGAGGCGAAAGGGGAGACGGAGGAGACAGAGAGGAAGTGGACAACATGGGGGAGGGGGAAAGGGATGGGACGATGCGGGGGGGCCGAGGAGCGCCCTCCTCCTCATGCCCCCCCCCCTCCTTGTCCCCCCCACCCTGCTGGCGGCGCGCAGAGGGGGGGCCAGTGCGAGGGGGGGCGGCCCACCTGCAATGATAACGGTACCATGGCGCCAGATGAGGAACGATGGGGCTTTTCCGGCCACGGCGAGCCTCGGTCACGAATAGGCTTCCCGACCTAAGCCAGAGGACCAGTCCCCAGAGCCCCCCTCCTGAGCCCAGACTTGTCCGATTGCTTCAATCAGCGTCTTGACTGTGGGAGCGGCGCGGGGCGGAGCGGCGGCCGATCATCCGTGCCACGGGACTGCTCCATGTGGCGCGACGCGCACGGAGAGGCCGGAAGGGCATCAAACACTGAGGCGGTGAGGCAGTGAAGCGCACCCTCTTGGGAGGCCCAAGGAGTGTGGCATCGATGGTTCACAGGACACCCTTTAGCATAACGCCCTTTGATGAAAGCTGCCAGGGGCACACCACGTGCACACGGCGCCGCACTCTGAGTGGACCTCAGCGGGGCAGCGAATCGGCATCCATGACGACCGAATGTACCCGACGAAACGCACGTCGATTAGCAAAACCAGCTGGGCACTGCACCAGCACACTGGAATGCCAACGTCAAGTGAGCCAGTGCAGATTTCCTCCGTCGGCTTGTCGAGGCTGGGCGTTCTCTCCATGCCCGATGGTCCTTGAAAAGAAGGCTGGCCGTTTCCACGAAGGCCCCCTCGCCTTCTCAGACGACGACTGCCATTTTTTTTTGAGTCCCGAAACGGTGCGGTGACAGACCGTGCGGTGACCTCGGAACCCCAAGAGACCTCACCGCACGGTCCGTCACCGCACGGTCTTAGGACCCTGGAGGCCCCTGTCGCCCGAGACATCCTCGGAGAAAGACTCGAGTCCCAAAACCGTGCGGTGACCCCGAATCCCCACCGACTTACCGCACGGTGTGGTCACCACACCGTTTGGGGGCCCCCGATGTTCTGCCCACGCCCCCCGTCCTCCCCACGCAACCCCGGGGCACCGCATCTTGCCTCCGCCGTGAGGGCGAGGCGGCCGCTGCGGCGACCGAGGGAAGTGCGAGTGTGGGTCTCAGGCCGCCCCCTCCTCCGTCTCCTCCTCCTCCTCCGCCTCCTCCTCCGCCTCCTCCGCCTCCTCCACCTCCTCCTCCCTCTCCTCCTCCTCCTCCTCCTTCTTCCTCCTCCTCCTTTCCTCCTCCACCTCCTCTTCCTCCTCCTCCTCCTCTTCTTCCTCCTCCACCTCCTCTTCCTCCTCCACCTCCTCTTCCTCCTCCGCCTCCTCCTCCTCCTCCTCCTCCTCTGACTAGCCGCTTTGGCCCAAGAGGGGCGTGCGGCAGCGCGATTCAAAGCGGCGCAGCTGCCGCGAGCCATGGCTTAGGCCTGATGCCCACGAGTCTGCGTTTCCTGATAGCGGAGAACTTCTTCGGCTCGGACTTCGGGGTGAGGTTCGGCGACTTCTTGGAGGCCGCGCGGGTGGATGATGCCGAGGTCGTCGTCTGCCACTCGGGCTCAGTCGGAGGAGGCGGGCACGCAGCCCAGCCAGGCCCAGCGGAGCACGCAGGAGAAGGCGCATGCGGACCGCTGGCGATCGCCGCCGAGAAGAGTAAAGGTGGGGGGTCAGAGGCTGCCGAAGCCCCCGCCGCCAGTGAAGATCAGGATCCCGTGGCGCCGTGTGGAGCCGTCCGCGCCTGCTGCGGACAAGGTGCAGAGCGCCAAGGGGTTCGCGAAGAAGGCGAAGCAGAGGAAGCAGAAGGACCAGTGTGTTCGAACCCCTTCGCGAATCTCAAGGGTCACATCGACGGGTCCCAGGAGTGGAAGCTAAAGGATTGCCAACTACAGAAGTGGAAGTGCGAGGACTGCGTCAAGAGGTTGAAACAGAAGGTGGTGCTCTTTGGCTTCAGTGTGCAATGCCCCTTCTGCCGCAGGCTGCCGCCGTCCCCCATCAGGGAGAAGCAGATGGCGGCCATCCGCAAGATCAACAGGGAGGAGTTCGAGCGCCAGAGGGCTCTCAAAAAGCAGCTGGCGTCGGCCACTGCTGCGAGTTCTTCGACTTGTCCAAAGGTGACGGTGCAGAGGGCTCGGAAGAAGAACGCGTTCCTCAAGAAGATCAAGCAGACGCGCAAGCACATCCAGGGAAAGCAGGCCATGGGGGTGAAGCCCAGCGTGCCACAGGCGGAGGGGGTGATGGTGAAGGAGACGGAGAAGGAAAGGCAGCTGGAGCACATCGACGCGATGGCCAGCCAGCAGCAGACGACCAAAGACAACCTGTCGGAGTTGATCGAGTCGCTGCAGCCCGCCCTGCATACGGGCACGGAGGAGGCGCAAAGCAGGGTGGAGGCCCTCATCCAGCAGGCCGAGAAGACCCTGACCAACACGGAGGGGAGCCTGGTGCGACTCAAGCGCCTGAGGAACCTGGTGGTGGCCAAGTGAACCTCGTGCGTGGATGCGCCCAAGCCCTCGCGGGCCAGAGTCTGAGGGACCGTGAGCCAAATCTCACGGAGACAAAGCCAGAGCTGCCTGCCGTCCCAGCTTTCCCGTCCCTCCTTGGGTCGGGGGACGACCTGGAATTCTCATTGGAGGACTTCCTGGAGGGCAAGAAACTCCAGGACGCGCTCGAAGCGGCCAGCACCCCTGAGGCCATGCGCATTGCGATGCTGGGCATTAAATCGTACGTGTTCAGGTTCTCGCTTGCCCAGGCGCTCCAGTAGTGGGGTGCCAGGGTGGGCTTCTCTTCAGGCGTAGCGCTGAGCTGGCTTTGGCGTAGGTTGGCGTGCGTCGCGCGAAGTTTTGCGGGTGCTGGGCATAGGCCTGGCGCCATTCGGGGGCTGATAGGCTCGGCCCCTCAACCATGCTTTGACAACTGCTGAGCGTGGGCTTGGCGTGGCCAGCGAGCCAGGGGTCTCTAGGAGAGACTCGTATCATCAGATCCCTCAGAGCCCTTCTCCTCCGACTCCTCCGCCTCCTCCTCCGCCTCTGCCTCCGCCTCCGCCTCCGGCTCCGCCTCCGCCTCCTCCTCCTCCTCCTCCTCCTTCTCCCTCCTCCTCTTCCTCCTCCTCCTCCTCTTCCTCCTCCTCCTCGTCTTCCTCCTCCACCTCCTCTTCCTCCTCATCCTCTTCCTCCCCCTCCTCCTCTTCTACGGAGCTCGCAGCGTACTGTGGGTCACAACTACAGGATTCACGCTTCATCCTGCAAATTGTACCTGGGCGTGCCCATCGGACTAGAAGAAGTTGGCCAGACCCTGAGCAACACAGCTCGCAAGGCTATGCGACAAGAAACCTGCTTGGGCCCCGTGGCCTGCAAATTGAACCTGGGCGTGCGAAGGAGACTCCAAGAAGACCATCCTCCTCTTCCGCGTCCTCCTCTCTGCGTTGGCCAGACCCTGAACGAATACATGCTTAGGCGCACTGGCCTACAAATTGTACCTGGGTGTGCGCAGTAGACTGTAAGAAGTTGGCCAGATCCTGAGCGACGGAGATCGCAACGTGATGTGACACATATACATACTTAGGCGCTACGGCCTGCAACATGTACCTGGGCGTGCCCATCAGATAAAACAAAAAAAGGTTGGCCAAACCCTGAGCGGCACAACTCGCAACGTGATGTGACAAGACACCCACTTGGGATCCTTGGCCCGCAAATTGAACTTGGGCATGCGAAGGAGGCTCAAAGAAGGCCCTCCTCCTCCTCCTCCTCCTCCTCCTCCACTCCTCTTCCTTAGAAATAGCTTCTACCTGTCGCACCCCGAGGCCAGATTAGTTCAGGCCAGGCGTTTCGCCTGAAATGTCCTCATCATGTATGACCCTGAAGCTTAAGCATTATCAGCAGCTTCACAGATGGAGGGCGGGTCGTTTTCAAAAGGTGGCTCTCGCCTTAGCGCCGCGCACATTCTCTTTTCACTGTACAAGGGCTTCACGGATTGAGGGCGACCCGTTTTCAACATGTGGCTACCGCCTTAGCGCCGCGCACATTCTTTTAGAACGTTTGCAAGGGTATCACGGATTGAGGGCGGTTCCTTTGCAAAATGTGGCTCTCGCCTTAGCGCCGCGCACATTCGTTTTTCGGTATAAGAATTCATTGCAAGAGTTTCATGGGTTCCCATGATCAACGTACCAGCAATAGCGTGTTGGAAATATTCAGGGTTATGAGGGTGCAGCATGTACTTTGACTCGTGG